CTTAAAGAAAGAAGTTATAGAAACTGGTTAAACTAAGATAGAAAGATAAAAAGAGTGAAAATGAAAGAATTTTTGGAAGAATGACAGAAAGAAACAAGTAATTAAAGAGAGGTTGGATGTCTTTCAGTTTAATGCTTCTTTTCTATTGAACGTCCTGCAGATATGAATATTAAGAGAAGAAATTAAACATCTCTTTTAGACAAGAAGTGGTGCTCCCTTCATCCCGAGACAAAACAATGAGCTCCTCTTGACCAGACAACTATATAAAGTGAACACAAACACTTTAAACCAAGAGATCGTTTGGGTCATGCTCTTTATGCAAAAGTTACAGAAAGGTTAGGGTTCCATGTCTCTTGACCTGAGATTTGAAGACCTTACAGGACAATAATGATTGCTGACTGCTTGCTTTATTGTCATTTAAAGAACAGATAGACATTTTAGTGCTTGTTATTCATGAGCGTTAAGCTAAACTCTTCCATCTTGCACTTGTTTATAAGATTATGAGAGAAGTAAAATTGATTAAAAAAGTTTACTAAGAAAGAAAAATTTCGTTTAGATAGATTAATATTTTATTTTATTTTATTTTTTTCGAATTTTACTGATCCTGACAGACACTTAAAATATGCAGTATCTGATGATAAAATAATTAATGAATAATGAATTTGAAAGGATATAAAGTGAAGCGGTCGTTAGGTGTTTTGGTATACTATTGCAGAATTGCCTGAAAGGACTGAAGAAAATTTCACTCGAAAATTTTGTTGTATTATTATTATTGTTATTAAGCTTAATTTGTGATTGCCCTTTGGGCTGCTGAGTAAGCACATAAATAAGAGTAAATAATTGTGCTCAATTATTTCCAGCATACAGTATATAAAACAAAAGGGAGACAATGTTTTTGGAAATTAGTCTATATGGTTAGTCGATAACTAATTAGGAATCAGAACACATTGTCGTTGCAAAAAGATTTAACAAAAAAAGTATGGACCAACCAGAATGTAGGCCTATCATGTGACAAAAAAGGATAGGAGAGAGAAGTGGGGGTATATGTCGGGTTAGTGGACAGCAAATGGAAGGCAGGGAAGGGACTACATGTCACCAGTCTGCAGTAGCAATGATCAGTTTCACATAATACCTCCTAATTGGATACCAGTCCTGCTTCAAGACCCCTTCCAACTAAACATTACTTTTATCGACATCACTGGGGCTACTCGACGCCCAAGAAAATGGCAGTGTTTAAGCTATGTTATTTTGTGAATTATGCTTCTCCTTAAACCACGTACAATCTGATTATAAGAATGCGTGGTGCGCAATGATATATGCCTAATCTTTCTCAGCAAGTAGCTGACCGGTTGCCTAACACATACTTCTTGGGATATCACTGCTCATGCGCAGTCGTCAGCAATCTACTTGGTCACAGTACCTAGCTCGACTTAATGCATTATGGCCTTGTTGATCTTTGCTTAGTATATATACGAGAGGTTAGAGATTTATTGTAATTATTTTGATTGCATTAATTTGATTATTAGAAAGCTCATTAAACTTTACAGCATATTAACTAAAATAATTATCATGAGTAAAACAAACAGTTGCAGCCAGAAATCATGAAAATTACTTTTCTGTTGCATTGGTTTATAATTTTACAAGTCTTCTGTTGGTACTCTACACTTATGCATAAACATGTAGTCCAGCAATAACAACATGCAATTTAGCTCATTGATTAGCGCGCTGGAGTAGCTCAGTGATAGCTATATGACGAAATTAAATTAGGAGTCTATAGTGTTTGCAACTGCATATACGCTTCATTATCATCATCATCATCATCATCATCATCACGGTCATCCATCATAACAATTATTTTCTTTGAGGGAAGAAAATTTTATTTTTCTGCAGGTTCTGTCTAAGGTAATTGCGTTTCTCGAACATGATTGTAAAGATTCATACCTTTGTCATGGTTGCAGACTAATTGTCAATTTACAAACAATGTTTAACATTTAATTTGTATATAATGTGAGATGACGCCTGAAAGCCGGAATAGTGGAGATATATTCCCAAGGCAACGGATACTCAACTGCTGTTTCAATGCAACGGCGAGGTAGGTATACCTGTATAACGATAGAGGAATTGTTTGGATAATGATTGAAAAGATGTTTTCTGTTAGGTCAGGCCCTAGGTTATATAACGAGGATGCCAGGTCACCTGGAATTAGAATTGAAGAAGTCAGCGGTCGAAGATGACTGAGAAGTGATGACAAGAAAGGAAATAGGCTGTGAAAAGAGGGCTTCATGTATGCTGCAGTGACAGTGAAACTGTTATAAATCCCTTGCCAGGATACAAGTAGTGAAGACTGAGGACACTAGTGTGTTTAAACACGCCTCGTCAAAAATATAGGCTGTGTTTCTGTGTGGTCCGTGCCAAGGGGTTATAAAAGGACACGATTAGAAGACGCGACCTAATACAGAAGAGTACCAGTAGTAGCACGGAGTGGAGAGTCGGGCTTCAAGACCCCACCTTGTCAGGATATGAGCTTGGAAGCAGAGGAATTGAATTGAACCAAGAATAATGGCAAGAAATAAATTAGGCTCTTATAAGGATACTCCACGTGGAATTTCAAGTTACAGTGAGACAGCAGTAAATCCGTTGCCAGGATACGACTAGTGAAAACTGAGAATTCTAGTTCGTATGAAACGGTGAACTGGAAGTGTGTAAAATAGCGATAAAGCTGTATTACCTCTAGCCCAGATTTGTGTGAATGTATAAGGTGCAATATATTCAATCATCCAATCCAAAACCCCGTCTTATAAGTCACCCCTACACGCATGGAAATATGTTTATATTATAACCATACACCAAATCGTACATGACTACAGCTAGCAGTTCATTAGTTATAGTCGTGAAACTGAACTAAATTATTTTTATTCTTTGTATCCTGTTGCGTAAGTACAGCTAATAATACAAATTCAGCCTTCAAAGCAACAATTTTTTATTAATTTTGTTTACACTTTCGACCCTTAAAGGATCATCATCAGGTGTTTCCAGTTACACATTATTAATTTTTGAATTGTAACGTGAGATCCCACTATTCCTACTTACAGACAGAGGCAATAAATTGGCTACGCTCATGTTTAATAACATACTCTGTAGTTGGTACTGACTCATCTGAAACTAAATATTAAACTTAACATTTTTCGAATATGCTAAAATTAATTTTAGAATTGATTTAAAATTAACTGAAGAATTTAATTAATTTAAGAACATCATTCATTCATTCATTCATTCATGAATAATCTGTCAGACGACAGGTCCACAGTCTCTTCCAAAACAGTTCCTCCACTTGATGCAATCTAGAGCTTTCTCCTTCAAATTAGAATATCCTCTTCTGTCCCCAAGGTCATCCAGCATCTTCTTACATCTTCTTCCTCGTCTTCTGGTCACTTCTATCCGCCCCTCTATCTTTCCTTCAATAACTTCTCTTGAAGGAAGTTACTGCGTAAGATATGACCATCCAATTAGCCTTCCGTTTTCTTATTTCGTGTAGGATATTCCTCTGCTCACTGACTCTAAATAACACTTCTTCATTTTTCACATAATCGGTCCAACTGATCTTCTCCAATACCATATTTCGAAGCTTTCCAGGTGTTTCTGATCTACTGTTAAGAACTTACTTAAACTATTTTATAATCGTGAGCTACGATCGGCTTCATGTCTTGTGTTGCGGTACACCTCGCTTAGCCTTCTCAAATTCTTATATTATTTGCTGTGCCACCGCAGTGTGCTGTTATTAACATGCTCAACTTTCTTGAGGGCTAATTATCTATTTCTATATATTCTTCTTCCGTAATGAGTCGATCGGTAGTTAATGTTGTGTTTTTATATTGACTAGTTTTCGTGGTATACCTATTGCAGCGTAGTCTGAACTGTTACAGGTCGTCTTACGTCAAGGTTTCTAGCTTGTTGTCTCAGGGTATTGAGGGAAAGAAAGGGGGTTAAGGGGGAAAGGATGGGTGTTAGGGGGTGGAGTAGTGTGAAGATATGGATAGAGGGTTCTGAGATGAGTTGGATTGTATGTATTTGAATTTGCCTTTATTAAGATGTCATATATCAGGTTATAGTTTTCTGTCAATTTTTCATTCATTTGTAATTCCTGTTTAGTCAAAATATTTAATAGATTTCTAGTGAGTTTAGCATTTGTCCTTTTCTTTCCACGTGTAGTGTTTTCATGGTCTGATCCGTGGTATCATGGTTGTGTGTCGTATCTTGTATGTGTTGAGCAAATTTTGAGCTTAGTCCATTTATTTTTATTTCTCTAATATGTTCTTCATATCTTGATCTGAATGTACGTCCCGTTTGTCTTGTATATCTAAGGGGACAATCTTTGCATATCATCTGATATACCCCACTCAGGCTGTATATATCAGTTGTTTATCTCTTGTTTTGCATGGTGTTTTATTGTGTTATAAATTTTAAATGCAAATTTCATATTAGTGTTTCGAAGGTGATTCTTCTAAAACAAGGTCAGAATTATGTAAAATTGACCTATTATGTTGTGTGTGTGTGTGTATTACTCGTGAGTGAACTTTTCTTTTCCTTCTTGATCTGTCGGGAAGTATTAATTTTTTTACATTTTAGCTGTAATTTCTTTTACTTTGTAACTTGTATGTATTAATTCAGTTATATAGTTTGCTGACAGCTGATTTTTATGCTCATATGAGTGACAGGATGTATTGTATAGTATGAGATTTGTGGAGGTAGTTTTTCTATATATTTCGAAACTCGGTCCTTCTGGTTTTTCGTGATAGTTAATTTAAGGTAATTTATCCTATTTTTACTGTGTTGCTCCATTGTGAATTTAAGCTTAAAGTGTATTCTATTAAATTCCTCTACCCACTTCTACATTTCTCCACCCCCAACCCCTCCCCATACTCCACCCCCCAAACCCTTCCTTTCCCCCTAACCCACCTCCCTCTTCCCTCACTGAGACAATAAGCTAGAAACCTTGAAGTACATCAACCTGCAGCAGTATAGACCGCATAGATCACGCAGCAGTAAGCATACCACGAAAAATAGACAACATAAAACAAAATATTAACCGTAAGTACTAAAGGAACGTTTTATTAATGGAAGTAGCCTTTTGTAAACCAATCGTAAGATGTAATATATTATTAGTAAAACACGTAAATTATTATAGATCGATTCAGTCATTACGGAAGAAGAATATATGAAAGTAAGGTCATTAGTTCTCAAGAAATTTGAGCGTGGCAAGAACAGCATAATTAGATGAAATAACAAATAATAGAAGAATCTGAGAAGGCTAGCGAAGTCTACTGCAGCTTAAGACACGAAACCGATCATAGCTCACAATTTTTATATAAATACATTTTAAAATTAATTTTTAATTAATTTTAAATTAAATTAATTTTTAATTAATTTTAAATCAATTCTAAAATTCATTTTAGTTTAATCAAGAAAATTGTTATGTTTAATATTTAGTCTCATATGAGTCATTGTCCACTAAACAGTATGTAAACAAACATGAGTGTAGCCACTTTATGGCTTGTGTATGTAAATAGGAATTTAGGGTTCTCGCTTTACGATTCAGTAATTAATATTATCTAATATGGAAACACATGAAGACGACCCTTTAACGGTCGAAATATATAGTGTAACCCAAATTATTAAAAAAAAAAAAAATCTTTGACTGCTGATTTAGTATTATTAGATGAAACTATATAACTATATCCAAATTTTATACGGAAGCCATTTCGTTGTTTTATATTCAACTAGTAAGATGTCTTGACAAAATTGTACATTTTCCCAAGATTTGTTACCACACAAAATTTTACAATCCTGGTACCGTCCCCATCTCGCATGCTTGTGAACTACTCTTAAGTTAATGTACAGATACTAATTATAGATTATTACATATGATTTCGCTGGATATCAACCTGTTCATGCCACTAGTCATTAGTATATCTAATGAGTAATCAGCACTTTAGCTTATAGAATTATGTAATATTCTGATTGCTAAAATTTAAATAAATAAAAAAATCTCGCATGCTTGTTCACAATCCTTCTTCTTTTTGCTGATTGTAAGAAATTAAATGTGAGAAGACAGGGTTGCTTCCAAAGCCAAAATGTGCTTATACTCGTATTTGATAAGATTCGATCAGTTGGTCAAAAGTAAAATGAGGAAGGCCTAGACAGACCGACCGATGCGCACACGCACGCACGCACGCACAACTCACCCCCAACACACACAAAAGTAAGGGAAGTGAGCGGAAGATGCAGATAGCGGTGCACTGAGCGACATCACCATTTCCTAATTTCAACAGAATACAAGGTGAAAATAAATTATAATCTCATTACTGTTTGAAAAAACATACGTCTACTCAGAAGGCCTAGGCAGGGAAGTTTTGTTCTTGCGTACACGTGCCTTTAACCGTTCCCGGTTCGTGCTGGCAAGTCATCCACAAGGAATTTACTTTTTACGAATTATTCTTAAATTCCCTTCGATTGTTATATTAAATAGGAAGCGACCAACAAAACGCAATATAATCTTATATAACGGTACTCTAACGAGCAGGCTTGTCATAGATTTTATTAAATCACCATGGAGCTTAGCTTTCAAATCTCAAACAAAAATAGATTAGAATTCTTATGTTCGTTAAAAATAAAAGTATTCAGCATTTTATTATGCTCATCAATTGATTTCATCTTTAGCCCCTTTAAATCTACATTTTCATAATCTCACATTCAGTAACTTCACTTCGCCACAATCCGCTCTTAGAATTGTTTCATACAGTCACATATATGGAGTGACTATAGCCGGATTTTGGGACCATGACCGGATATATTGGACTCTTTGATAAAGCGAGTGACTACACTTTCAGTATACTACTACACACATACACTGATGTCCTCATGTCTTCACGGCCGTTGCTTGCTAGCGGTTTTCAACGACGGACGTTCACCTTCCTCTAGATTTCCGAACAGTCCCTGGCTTCAGCTACAAGCTTCTCAGAGCAACAGCTCACAATGAATGAACTGCAGCAGTCGTTTAACTATCTCACAGACTCGCCAAATGACTGATTAACCCTTAACTTGTTCAGTTTATAACATCTCTGCATGGATCGTGTAGAAGATACTGTCCCTTTATTGCTGTTTAATTGTTGCAGTGGAAATGTGCTTGTTTGCGGAGCCGTTATTTAGCAACGGCTCTTTTATAGGTGCTTATTTCGCTGTTGTTGCTTAGCAACGGTTCTACGTGCCGGAATATTCAGAGATGATAATAATGGGATTTATAATTGTTGGTATCTACAGGTTTTTGTCATTTTAAAAAAAAAAAAAAAAAGGCTCTTAGCAGACTCAAATTGAGCATATTTCGCCAGGTGCCAGAAAACATGGACCCGTCATAATATATAGAAGAGGGGAATCAATGCACGTGGGGTAGAAATAAATGAATGATAAGAAATTCATGATTTCTATGTGAGTACGTCTATACTGAGACAACCGTGAAAAACGGGGAGACAGGAAATGCTACAAAATTGCACTAGGAAATTTCATAGAAAGAAGCCTGTTCAGAAAATAGCAGCCTATGTATTTGGGAAGCTTAAGGATTTATGACATATCACAATCACGTGACTTTCTTTACATGTTCAACACCTCAATTGGTTTAATACTCGACACATAAACTAGGGTTCAGGATTTGTCAAAATTTTGTGAGTTGTCGAGTCACCCTGCAAGTCATCATTGCTCTCTACAAAATTCAAACTTATTTGAACTTTCCAAAGTTAACGTTTGCTTATATTATAAATAATATAAGTGGTTATATTTATCTGTGTACTGTTTACTAGTTCATTAAATTAGAACTTCCAAAAAATACAGTTTTAAAACTGTGGGCTTTTTACTTACTAGAAATTTCCGCTACAATGAAGAATTGTTACAATACAATTATAATAACTGAATTCATTTACTCAGTGTTCGCCTAGCAGACCAAAGGCCAATTACTAAGTAAGCATGAGTAAAATGAAGAAGCGAAACAAACATGTACACACAAACATAAGAAAAACCAAGACAATCTGGATCAATTGGATATTAATAAAAATTCCATTAGTGTATTCACGTAATCCTTACGAATGGTAATAAAAAGTGAGCTTTAATTGACGTTAAATGTCGAAGTGCCTCGAGAAGTATAAGACGTTTAAGAATGTTTAAGAAATGTAAAATTTATTTATGATCCATATAAAGATACGGTATATGTAAGTTAATATGGAGAGCCATCACTTCCTCCAAATTTGAAAGCATCTGATCATGGACTACCATCCCACTGCGACATGTACAGTATTTTCATCCTATGCATTGCCGTAGCTAACTTCCGAAAGCAGTTTTGTGACGCTTGTGTTAACAATAAAACCTAACGTGAAATACCAATGACTATTTTTTTCTTTGGCGCTAAAGCCCCAATTTGGGCCTAGGCCTACCTCCATGAAACTTTCCGTTTCACTTCGGTTTTCTAGATCTTACACATACGGTAGGACTCCTTGGGCGGGTGATCAGCTCGTCGCAAGGCCTCTACCTGTAGACAAACATAGAAAAACGCAAATACACAAAACAAACACTAAACATCCATGCCCTGAGTGGGATTCGAACCCACGATCCAGGTTTCCGAACGAGAGAAGTTAGTGCATGCCTTAGACCGCTGGGCTACCGTGACCGGCACCAATGACTATACCCTAAGTTAAAAGTCAAGCACACTCCCATTTTAACGCTCTTCAGCCTACTTCAAGTTGTGTCCTAATGAAAATGGAGAATGCAATAAAATGGCGCCAGAGTTAAGACTAAAGCGTTTTATTGTCATTTCCTGTTGCCCACACTTGGCTTACTTTAATTAGGCTACCATGCGAGCGTTTTAATGAGACTATAATCTCATTCTTTCTTTCGTGTCTATTATCCAGAACAAGTCAGTTTTTTTGTTTCGTTTAAAAGAATTGAACCTCTTATCTCCTCATGGCAGATATCTTTTGTAAGCGTGATTCTGCATAATCATGACTCTTGAGAACGTGGGAAATTAGGGCTAAAGCTTGTCTGACCTTTCGTCAAGACACATATAGGGCCCATCTGGTCAGAACTAGAGGACAGGGGAAATGGGAGGGTTTCTCGTTCTGTTAAAGGGTTGCACTAATGTTCCGGTAACATTGTTGAAAAATTACACATTTTGTAAATATTTTATCTTGCTTGATATTTATTATTTAACTTTTTTATATATTTTTAATCGATAATTAAAAGACACAAATGTTCTAATGAAGCAATCATTACAGGGACGGCTGTCAGACATGGTCTCTGAGGAAATAACATGCATTGTAAACGCTTTCAGTCAAAGCTTCAGGAAGTTATTTGAACCTTAATTAATTAATTAATTAAATTATTTGAACCTTGGAGGAATAATGCAGACGAATAGAATAGAATGCTTATCTGGATGACGTGTACAATTCAACCAGTATTTCACAAATATAGCTGGATACTTTTTAACGGCAAGTCGAGAAAGCTGTAGAGGAGGAAACGTTCTTGACATTGAAGTGCAGAACGGGTCACAGACTTGTTTTTCTCATTAAGAGCCCTCAGGAATATGTAAGTAAATCGGCCTGTTAGCAATCTGCTTTGTGCCATAGTTGGACAACAGCCACTGCTGGGCAGCGGCCCTGACGCAACAATAGAAGTATTTTTCGAAGCGATGTTTTCTATGTAGTCCGCTCAGAGATTATATCACGCGAACGAACCGAGTCTAGTGACTTAATTTGAGTGAAATGGAGCGAGTTGGTTGGTGAATTAATTAGGTAAACGCTGCGGTTCAGTCCTTGTGAGCCGTTGCTCCTAGAAATTGGTAGCTGAGGCACGGGAATGATTTGTGAACCCAGAGTAAGGAAAAGGTCCACAGTTGAAACCGCTACCAGGCAACGACTGGTGAGGAAACAGCAGACTGAAAAGAGTTAGTGCGTGCTGTAGCGAATCTTAGAGCGTGCGAATTAGATATAGAGCTACAGTTACTTTTAATTACGTTCTGTAAGAGTTCAATGAATCTAATTACCAATCGAATCCCCGTCTATAATCACTCAATCAAGTGACAATAGAACGCTTATTTATGTTTCCGGTCCTCGCCAGTTGGAGCGAGTTCATGGGAACGTAGACTGTCGCCACTCGACAGCTCTATTACGAGTGCTGCTTACAGGGGATACACGCGAGACAAATGACTACAGAGACCATGCAAGATAGTAGAATTCTACAGCGGCGTTCACGTCAATAGGCACGGAGATTAAATCGCTATCTACAAATCGTGCACAATGTTTCCGGATACACGGCCAGATTTACCATTTGTTCTTACAGCTATTTCCAAACGAAACTTATATCCTAGGATATGGACAACTTTATATTTTCGATTCTACCAAAGCAACAACAAAACTACTTTAAACCGAAGAGTGGGTAGACGAAATAATGCAACAAATGTACGAGATACTGCTACAAGTCAACATATTTGATGAATTAAGTTGTCACATGTTGCAGTGACTAAAGATGGAGTTCGGATTTGTAGCTGGATTTATTAGCAACCTACAGGTCGTAACTACAAATAATTATTATAATATTTGCTGATTTACACAATTTACAATCACTCCACACTAACATTCTCAGTCTGTTTCCACTAGTCTTCACTATCCGTTTCCTGGCAACAGACTTATAACACGGGAACTATAACACTCACTGAATTACACACTCCAAATATTATAAATAAATAAAGTCTTCTAATCACAAGTTAAGTGTTCAAAGGCCGACTTCTCATTCTTCAAACTACGAACTTCCCATGGCTATCAGCTGCCGAGAACTGACTTCCTTGCTTGTTCGCGTGCTTCTGCCGCTACTGCTACTCGTAACTCGTAACTGCCCAAAACGAATTCTGTCACTTCGTTATATAGCCGCGGAACGGACATGGATTTACAGAAAACAGATATCACATGATCACTATCCATCCAGTCTATTGGCCCGTCGGTCGGATCTACAGAAAACACAGCTTCCTCTATTGTTCCTTGTTGGACCGTGCTTAGAGAGCTGTTGCCTGGAAACGCGTTGATAAAATCCGTTACAATATAAAGAAATTCGCCAAATAAAAAAAATACATGAAAAAATAAACATTTGTTTAATAACTATTAAGATCTGATAAAACGGCTTATGCTACGCCGGGTACAGTTAGTTTCATGAGAATCCTCCATGTAACTGGGTGTCTTATACAAATGTCGGATTAAAAGAGACAAAAAGATCGAAAACGAGGTGACTGATTCATTTTTCTGAGATACTACACTAACAGTAATATAGACCTACTTTTAATTCTTATATAGGAAACTTAACTAAGCAAATAACTAACTAAATAAATCCATGGAACGGGGTCCTTCTTGAGAAGCTGCCTGTCGCTCAGTTACTCTAGAATTTCACAAAATTTTATAGAATCCGTAAGTTCATGTCCATGTTCACAAGAGCCCTCCACTGGCCTTTGCTCTGAGCTAGATGAAACTGACCATTCTACCACGTCCTCTTTCTCTGAGATACAATTTACTATTATATACCTACCAAAGCATAGAATTTTTAAGATATTTAACATATGGTTAAATGTGTGAACTGTCTTTGCTCGCTCGGAAGCCAGGATCGTGGGTTCGAATCTCACACACAAGTCATGGATGTTTGGTATGTGTATGCGTTTTTCTGTGTTTGTGTTGTCCTGTGTTGAGGTAGAGGCCTTGCGACGAGCTGATCACTTGTCCAAGGAGTCCTACCGTCTGTAAAATCATCGAAATAAAAAAAAGCAACCTCGACAACATAAACGCATAAGAGAAACGATTTTTAAATTCTGCTATCCTTGATGTTACGCTGAGACCACCGGATCCAGTTTCGCATAGGCTTATGTGAACTCAAGCAGGAAGAGGAGTGTGTTCCTGATTAACTGTTTTTTTTTCCTTGGCACTACAGCCCCAGTGGGCCTAGGCCTACCTCCATGAACTTCTCCGTTCACCTCGGGTTTTCTTGATCTTACACGTTCGGTAAGACTCCTTGGGCGGGTGATCAGCTCGTCGCAAGGCCTCTACCTGTACACAAACACAGAGAAACGCACACACACAAACTAAACATCAATGCCCTGAGTGGGATTCGAACCCACGATCCCGGTTTCCAAGCGAGCGAAGACAGTACATGCCTTAGACCGCTCGGCTACCGTGACCGGCGATTAACTGTTTACTACGATAAAAGCAACAGTATCATTAATAGAAACTAATGTATACAATTTTGTCTGAAGTATTCATGGACAGTTTGTAATTCCTAAGCCGTATATGGGAGAATAGTATTGAAATATATGACGGAGAAATGGGTTGCAAAATTGTGGACTGATCAAGTTGATTCATGGCATTATCAACTGTTATCATAAATCCCAACTGGATTTCATATACATCACCGCACACTTATTAGTTCTCGTGAACATACCATCTGTTCTCATCGTTTTGTTCTCGCTTCTCACGGGCCTGTCAATTGTTCTCATCAGTTACTTCTCGGTTTAGGGCCTTGCCATAGCTCAAGCGGTTAGTCGCTGGCTTCTCAGCGCGGCGGCCCGAGTTCGATCCCGGGTCTGGTCAAGTGGGATTTGTGGTGGACAAAGTAGCGCTGGGGCAGGTTTTCTCCGAGTACTTCGGATTTCCCTGCCAATCTTCATTCCACCAGTTGCTCCACAATCACCCTCACCTATCATCTGGGGCTGGTACAATAGACCAGTAGTGGCCGCAGTAAAAGGGTCTTAGTCCCACCCCACTAGGAATAAAAAAAATACTTATCGGTTTACACGGGCCCATCATCGGCCTTAGTTATTCTGTTCTCGATTCTGAGGGATGCCTTTGGTCTTCAGTACCCACTTCTCGGTTCGATTCTCATCATCATATTCTCTACAGGAAGGAATCACAATGCACAACGGTAGAAGCAGGAGGACCTTGAAAAATTATATGTTAATAGCGAGTAACTGGCAAGAGGGCGTCTGCTTGACGTAGACCAAATATAAAACACAGTTTCCACTATATTGTTGCATGTTGGGAAGTGTTTACTGAGTCGTTGACGTTGCAATGCTTTGATCAGATCTGTTAACAATAGGTTAAGAAAGATTCTGATAATGAAATAAAGTTCAAAATAGAGCCAATACACTTAAAATGAAGAGCTTCTCCGGATAGTAAAACATATGAGAAGTTAGCACAGAAAAATAATCCTTATAGCATCACCAGTTGTTGCACAAAACTCTGGCCATATTGAGAAAAATATTCGTAGATCATAAACCTCTATGATTAATTTTTGTTTCATCGTAATATTCAAATTACTATTCTGTACATATGCCCATATCAGTGACTTGCACCATTTATGCTTGCAGAGATGAGGGAACATCATTGCCGGGGCAAGAGTTGGCCAGTATGAACACTGAATGCTGACCACTTGCTTAGCTTCAGCTAAGCCGAGCTAAAGGTATGTATGTGAAAGACTTATCGTAACTCACCACACGCTGTTCTCAGCAAGACGTCTGGACAGACATGTGAACATTCGTGGTACAGAGAGGAGCCTTAACGTTATTACTGCCGGGTTCTGTCCTCACTCCAATAGCTTCATGTTTCACATGCCACAGACGGACAATAGTACAGATGCATTCAAAGTGAACTTTGTTTTAACCACGAATTGTGAGCGGGTCACAAATCTTGACAGAGTTGAAGTGACGGTTGTGTACAAATAATATGTTGGGTCAGTTTAATCTTCGTAAAGCCAAATATCACTAGTGTGATCAAATATGGGATGAGCAGCCATATTTATTTAGTAAGATTTGAGGCTTTCACGGCGGNTTCTCACGGTGTTGTCGCTTGCAGATTTCTTATACTTTTTCTTCTACCCTGAAGATGGGGGCGATACGTTCCTCCGAAACGTCGGTTAACACCACATATACACGGTGCCAAATCCCAGAAGACTGCTTTCTTCATATTTATTAAGTTTACGGAGAGCATAAATGGCAAAATGATTTCAGCGGGAGGCCCTAAATTGAGTGCTCTATGCGTAGATCATGATGTTAATAAAATGGATTAAATGAAAGACGACATGAGAATGTTGACTGGGTCCATCCGGAATAAAATAGGGTCCAATAGGGATTTTGTGAACGTGGTAATGAAACTTCGTCGATCACAATGGCCGCTCGGCCTAAGGCATGAACTGTCTTCGCTCGTTCTAACACTGGAATCGTGGGTTCGAATCGTACTCATGGCATGGGTGTCTGTGTGTCCAGCTGTCCTGCTTGTAGTTAGAGGACAAGTGGTCCTACCGACTGTATAAAAAAATTACGAAACTGGAGAGACCAGGGTCCAACAAAGGGCTGTAGATCCATGAATGAAGGAATGAATGAAAAGGGTAATGAAACTTATGCTTTCGTACAAGTTTTTAAACTTCTTGGGTTAGAAAACTAGCAAATGTGAGCTGGGCATCTTGTTTGTTTCGTGACTCTGTGTCAACAGCAAAGGTTAATGCCCAATTTTATAAAAATGATCATGGATATTAGTTCAGAGGGATATTAAAGGAAAGAGAGGTTCATTTGAAGGTACAGTTCGTTCGTAAGTATGTGAGATTAGATCTTAAGATGCGCAGGAGCATGTGCGCAAGCTGTTGGTATGACGCTTCGTAGCCCCTCGCTTGCGTTCAAATCTTCATGTACAGAACAGCGCGTCTTCGAAGGGGAGTAAGGGGAAGGGGAGGAATGGAATGTCAGTTAGGGCAGCTGGATCCCGAGACGTGAATCAAACCGTGTACCTCTGGAATACAGGTCACTTTGATGAGCATCTTGCGGTATATGTTATGCTACGCTACATCAGAGTGTGATTTTAAGCCTGTTCTTGTATCATGGCTTGAGTGCGTAAAAAGCTGTGGCAATAAAGCTTTAGATATCGGCGGATAACAATTTTAGATGCCTATGTCCTCTGTGAACCGAAAGGGAATATTATGTTAAGGAGAAAAATCCCGAAATTCTTTTGCCGTTTGTCAGGAGACTCTTGTCTTCTCGCCGTGTTAACTTGTTTCCTAGTGTATGAAAGTCAATGTTAGCGAATTTGGGTGTAAATGTCCTTTGCTCAGTATAGAATTTATATTAACATTATTTACTTGGACAGTTCCCATTCATGTGCTTCGCTTTCGGTGTTTACTCGCTCATGCATTCTCTAATTGAATTTTCATATATTGTGACGAATATGACCATTTGATAAGCAACGGATAGATAGCACATCCCCACAACACATGAGCATGTATCAGTAGTATGTCAATTGCTAGGCAACGGTGCGTTAAAAATTCTTCGTAGGCAATACAGGTATGTTTTTGTTGGGTCCATGCAAAATAGTTATAAGAGAACCAAATTCCAAAGCTGGCAATAGTTGTAGGAGTACAGAACAGTAGTCGGAAGAGAACTGGGCTGAGTATTCGGAATTAGCAGCTGCAGGAAATTGCAACAGACTTCACAGCGATGTTAAGTGATAATTTCTGTATTAAATCTGTTGCCAGGAAACGGATAGCGTGTCCTAGTGATTTGTGAAGTGCATAGATTAGCGGTAGAGCTATAACTGATTGCGAATTACATATATTTTAAAAGAAGTGTTAATAAATCCAATCATCCAATCCAGAATCTATGATTATTAGTCACGGAAACCCGGACACATGACAATATTTTACATATTTCCAACATTATCATGAAAATGAACGTTTTCAATAACTAACCACTGTTAACTAAATAGTATTTTGTAGCTATATGATCAGTCTATTTTGCTAGCTTAGTAGCCTAATTCTGGGCTGTGCTGTACATCAATATTCATGTAAAAAATTTAAAGGGCCGATTAAAGATATGCTTGAATTTCCTAATTTTATTACAATTTTCATTGCTACGTAGCAATGCTACACTAATATAGCACTAATGCTCTTCCTTAACAACTTTATTTAAGAGAACACTTATCTGTCAACCTCCCTAGTCTGTTGTCTTAGAATGAGGCTAGTACAACTTTCGGGATCTAGGAACAAGACGTTTACAAATAGGACAAAAATTACTTGTGAAATTTTCCTTGGTAGGACGTGCAGTTTTACTTTCACCGTGTTATTATAAAACTTCCTTAATAGTCACAGGTCGTCAGGTTTAACAAAGCAAGGTAGATACATTTAGCAATTCAAAGATTTAAATAATAAATCAAATAATAATCATAATTCAATTCGTGTTTATTTGCGTGCAAACTTAACAGCACAGAGACCAATTACAAAGTTGGCACGAGTACATAGAGAAATACACAAAATAACTAAACAAATCAAAATATAAATAAGACAGTCTATACAATGGCAATAAATTAATAATAATTTCAAGAAAAATTAAAGTTAGAATTAACAGTGAGAAAAATAAAATAATTATATTTCGAATGGTTATTCCATTATGTGGCGAGAAAGGACAATGCACATATATACACACAGAAGTTAATAATAATAATAATAACAACAACCCAATTAATTCTTACTTATTTAGGTAGCGTAGTTGGTTGAGGGGCATTACTATAAGCCGGAAGGTCGGGGGTTCAAGTCCCGATGAGGTCATTGGATTTTTTTCAATTGACATAATCCTTCCGGCCGCACCATGGCCCTGGGGTTCACTCAGCCTCTAACAGAAATTAGTACCAGGTATTAATTAAAATAATTTTCCTGAGGAGTAAAGCGCGGCCGGCACGTAAGGCTGACAACCTTACCACCATCTGTGAGCCGATTGTCTGGATAATGTGGGACCCTTAACGTCTCACAACCCTATGGGTTGTTGTTTATGTTAATATTGATAGTATCTTTAATAATATTAAGGTTTATGAAATCAATATAGGAGAGACTAGCAGAATATGTAACATGCATGGGGACTGAGAAACTGATAAAATCTCAGCGAAGGAAACCTAGGCATAGACGGAAAATTACTTTCAAATTACTCTAAAAAAATAGGATGCGAAGCTATGGACTGGATTCAGCAGGCTAAGAATAAATTAATTTCCAGATACAAGTCAAGGATATTGTGACTGCAAGAAATTGCTATCCTTATTGCATTCGAACTGCAATTAGTGAAACCAGGAAATGTGTCTTTCGGGACTATTGTCGTATCTCATTTAAACTCCCCTAAACATTAAAATCAGCACCCTTAGAAAGTAACTATAAATTGAGGTATTAGAGAACACAGTCCTAAACACAGTAGTTCGACCTACGGAAGGTAAACAATTGGAAAATGTAGAAAAGTAGAAACCAAAGTTCTTCACAGAAAATAATGGCTGCCCAACAAGAGTCAAAAGACTATGACAGACAGCCTGGACAAGGACAGGAATGGGAAACACAATTTAAAATTGTAACTGAAGCACTTCAGTGTAAGATGGCTCCTGGAGACCTAAGAATAGATGTGATTGTAACAAAACTTTGAAGGACAGATTGTGAAAGATTGCAGTGAAACTGGCTAGGTCAGGTTAGATTCTAATGACAACATTATGTAATAAACACTAATTGTTTGTTTATCTGTCACAACGCAACAACACTCAAAATCTCGTTCACATCAACTTTGTATAACGAGTTTAATTATTTCAGTGGTTATACACAGTTAATGTAAATGAGATTTTGAGTGTTGTTGTGTTGTGACAGATAAACAAATAGCTAGTATAAGTTAACAAAATAGGATGCGTTCCTTGAAGATTCTATAATAAAACTCCAGATCAATTCTTAGCCAACTGAACAAACATCAAGTGTTCAAGAAAAACTTTTTACCATAGACTCATGTAACAGGTTAGTCTATTACAAAGTTCCTTATGTAGGGAGGTAAGGGGTTGTTAGCTATTATCACAGGCGGAATTACTGGCTCTTTAGATTTTGTCCGTCATCCAAAGTCCAAAGTACTAAGGACAAAGTGTACAGTGCAGTGGTCTCCCAAAATGATAAATTTTGCTTGATGATGATCCATTTGCGGTCGACGCATATAGCAAGAACTAGTGTACAAGTTAATGACATTTGAAAATATTAACAAACACTTTTTAATTAATTAAATATACCGTATTTACGCATGTATAGGCCGCACATTTTTTGCCAAAAATTCAAGAGGAAAACTGGGGTGCGGCTTACATTCGAAATATTCGAAATCACACTTCATTTAAAAAAAATTATATTCATAATTAGTAATACAGGGTGTAATACTCCTGAAATAATATTCCAAGAAAATTATTTTTTCTATAATTTCTGTCTGAAAATTGTGCTGCGGCCTATACACGCACGCGGCCTATACATACGTAAATACGGTATTTTGGTGTCTTTTAGGAAAAGACTGATTTTGTTGCATTACAGATGGAATATTTTACAATTTCAAAGAAAGAACTCTGTAATGCCGAATGCTATACATCATTGTCAGAGCAGTTTAAAAATCTTCTTATTGCTATAGGGTGTCCAAGAAGATA